TTCCAGCCAAATTTTCAAAGTCGATATTTTGACCGGAAACTTTGGCAAAATGTTTCCTATAGTTTTCTCCAGTTTTCCCCAAAGTTTCAGCCAGATTGGAACACTCTCCGAGTTTTTGCGGAGTTTTTTTCCTTTTTTGCCGACTCCCTGAATAACACCATAAGAAATGGGTGTTTGTGAGAGAGGAATGGGGAGAGGGAGCTGGGCAAAATATCAAAATTACATGCATTATTGGTCTATTTTGGAGCACAAATATCTCGGCTCCCCGGACCATTTAGAAAAATTTGAAAACTGTTTTGGAATCAGGGAATGACCCTCTTTTCGATGGGCCCACTGGTATGTCTCGATCGCAAGGTAAGTTCTGACCATTCCCTAGTTAGGACTGAATTGACTTTCCTTGGATAGCGCGAGATCCTATGTTCCACGGAAAGTTAAGTTAGGTTTTCTGATAGTCTGACAAGAATTTTTACAGTGATTAAATGCATTTTTAGTCATTTTTAGCCCCGAATCTATTTTCAAACAGAAATAAATATTTTCAGACTTTCAGAAAATCATTTTCCAAACATCGGAAAACGGTTTTCCACTTTCTTGCATACGGCATCTGGGCCGCTTTAGCTGGACAGTTCTTCTTTACGCCCTCTCAAACTCCTGATTTGGTCCTTTCATTAATCCCTGATTTGGTCTTTTTTTTGGAGAGATGGTATATTTTGGAGAGATGGTATCCACAAGTTACCTTATTTTTTTAGCAAGCCGTGGACCACGAAGGTGCATACTCTCAATCTTGGATAATTCGTGTTCTTGTGTTTTTCAAAACTTAAAAAATGGACAATTACTTTCCTTCCAACCGCATATCTGACCGGCAGCTTTCAACGAATTCTTTAAAATTCCCAAGCAAAGTTGTGCTAATTCTTTTTAACATTCTTTCATTCATATTTTACAAAATATAAGATAGCACCGATGAAGATACAAAAGATCAAAAGAAGAATATTGACTAATCTAAAAAAATCATCAATCATCTCTTTATCATCTCTTCCTCATTGTAGAAATTTCTGTAAACAGTTTTCCTAATATGATCATTTGACGCTGATCTTCCTTCTTTCTATCTTTTTTTCTCGATGCAAACCCCAAGGAATCAAGATACCAGAGAGTCCTTATTAGAATTAGAATATAGGTTCAGATTATACTAAAAGATTTTTTACTAAAAGAAAATATTTAAGAAATCCATTGGATAATGTCAGCTGCTGTACGGGAAGTGCAATAATTCTTTCTGTGTTAACTATTTGTGGAGTTTTGGCAATTTTGATTTCTATTGGTCTATTTACAGTGGAAATTTTTTATAGGGGAGAACGTAAGATTTTTTAACTTCAAAAAGCAAAAAAAAGTTATTTTATGATGTTTTGCCAGCTATACATTAATTAAGCTTTCGGCAACAACCGAATCTCCACTAATTACGACAACAGAAATCACAACCGTTGATTCTGATCATATTACGAAACGTAGTTCACTTTCAGAGGGGGACTCCGACCAAAATTTGTATAATATTGAAATGGTGAAAAATGTATACCTATTGCTATCAAGTCCAGAAAAAAAAACTAAATGTAAAGCACTACCATAATTGTTGTTGTGTTATTTCTATGTGGAGTTTTGGCAACCTTGTTTGCTTTTATTGGTCCGTTTGTAGTAGTTAGAAGTAGAAAGAATTAGAGGAGGTAAATTTGAGTAAAATGACAAGAACAAGGTAGAAAGCCTTATAAGACTGCGCCGGATAGTTTGAATGTTCAGCAGAAACCGAGTTTTTACAGATAACTTCCAAATGTTTCTATTGTTATAGCCAGGCTCTGAAGAGAAAAGCTTCCCAATAACTTTCGACTCTTTATGGTTTAACGGGGGTTTAAACAAACCCTTTTTGTGTTTTGAAACAATTATTTAGGTCAGTATTCGTGAAAAGGTCAACATGAAAAATAAAGGTCTCCCTTCAAAACCTACGTACAAAAACTTTGGAGCTATCAATGTGACCCGGAAACGAGACCTCGGAAAAATTCCAAAAAACCCGTTTTGGCCGTTCCACAAAATAATTATTCCACTCTCAAAAAGTGAGATTTTGAAAGTTTCGAAACTTTGAAAACTTATTTTGAAGTTATTTGTAGAATTTCAAGCTTCTGACCCCTATACAGCTTCTGAACCCTATAGACCCTTATCCACAGAGTCTAACTTCCGGATTTCGGATTCCGGCATTCATATTTCCAGATTTCCAGATTTCCGAATTTTTGAATTTCAGGATCTCACGATATTGGATTCCCGGACTTATGGACTTCCGGATTTCGGATTCTAGGTTCTTTATTCTAGATTATGTGTTCCGGAATCGAGATTAGCTTTGTGAATGGTTTCAAACTCCCGGGAAGTTACAAAAGTTGCTGATATTCTGAAAGATTCTGAAGGAACTTGTGATTCTGAAGTAATGTTCACAATATGATTGAGTTTGAGCAATCAAACTTGAGTATGAGCAATCCGGAATCCCGATTCCGGAATACGTCTTCCGGAATCCGGAATCCGGAATACAGGATTAAGAGCATATTAGAAGATCCAGCACACACAATATCCGGAATCCGGAAGTCCACAAGTCCGGGAGTCCGGGAAACCGGGAGTCCGGAAATCCAATATCCTGAAATCCTGAATTCAATCAGGAAAAAACCGGTTTTTTGGAATTTTTCCGAGGTCTCGTTTCCGGGTCACATTGATAGCTCCATATTTTTTGTACACAGGGTAACGGCTGCGCATGGTATATGCGTTGGCCTCATATGGACGACATAGGTACACCGTTTGCGCACATATAGTACGCTATATGCGCGCACGCGCCATCGAGATCGGGCATGACGCATCCATATTTCATCTACAATTTCAGGTCGTATTGGCGATGGATATATCTTATATGGATTAATTCATCTAACTATAGTTCTAATAAGATGTGATTTTGTTCAGATCTTCCAATACCGTTCATTTTCCCTTTCAGATTTCACAGAGTGACCATTTTTCCAGTTTTCACAGAATTTTCTCACAGCAAGAAAAATTATGGCGGGAAGTTAAAAATATCTGGATGATATAACATAATAAATTTTTCCTTCAAAACTGCAATATAGAAAACTTGAAAAAAATTCAACAAAGTCTTGAAATTGGCATTAATTCGCATAATTTTGTTTTCGAAATAATTTTGTGTTTCTCGGATTTTTTCCTACTTTTACTTCGTAATAATCGGAAAACTTACCAACCAGCCTGTATATCACCTGAAAAATATATTATTCCGCTTATTCCAAAGTAAAACAGAAAAGTCCTAATTTCAAGAAAAACCGGATTTTGTAAAAAAATTTTACCTATTTCTTTACTAAAAATAAGTTTTATTTTCGTTAGCCATAATTTTTACATGTGAAAACAGTGAGAAGTTCTTTGAAAGCAGGAAATATGATCAATATGATCGAAAAATTGATCAAGATCGGCGGTGAAAAATTTTGCTAAACAACGCGCACTAGCGTAATAGCGGAGTGTCGTTGGTGGGTTGTCGTTTTCATCATACTTGGTGAAGGGCC